AACTTGTTGGTCAACAACGGTTACCAAGACCCACGACGTATAAACAAAACAGGACGACTTCACCCTCTCTCACCTACAACACGTCATAACCCTTCATCATCAAACATACAAGATACCGACCACGTAACATGCACTCTACCATTCATCAACGAGCCATTTTCCAAAGAAGTCACTCAATTTGCCCTCTCACACAACTTACCGGTCAAATTCATATTCACACCAGGTAAGAAACTCTCAGAGATCTTATGTTCATCACGACCACACGACAAACCACACTGCACCATACCAAACTGTATCATATGTCCACTCATCACAACAAATCACGACTGCAAACCAAAATGTGTCATATACAAAGTTACGTGTAAATTATGTCAAGAGCTATATATAGGGGAAACGAGTAGAACAGCACACGATAGATTTTCAGAGCATCGAAGAGCAGTCAACAGGCCTTTAACCTATCCTGATAATGCGTTGGCTGCTCATTATTCAGAGTTTCACGATAACATAGAACCAGATATTTCCTTCGATATTTTAGAAATTAACTTATATAGCACCATTAAACGTAAAGTGACAGAAGCTTACTACATTAATTTATTTAAACCTAGTATCAATAACAAAGAAGAGTGCGAGAAGCTTAAGGGATTTCTTTTACAACATATTCAAAGACAAATTTAAACAAATAGCACACGACCCTGCTGTTCAGTAGATATTATGTACTTGGACAGAGTGTAAAACGTGTGTACATCACTATTTTCAATGTAATGTATTATAATACCATTTGATGTAACCTGTATTCAGTGTGTGTAATTTTAATTTAGCATTTTAACTAGTATGGAAGCATTTATTATATACTAACATTTATAACAATTTTAGCCTGAAGATGGCGTTGACGCCGAAAATTTGCCCTTACTCCTAACTTCCTTGTTTCACTTGTCCTTGTCTCTTCCAACCGGATAATATCCAGATATCAGTATTTCAATCATGAGACTAATAAACAGCGAACTACTCCGTTATTTGACAGAGTTAAAGACATACAGCGCCGCGGTAAAGGAATCAAAAACCTCAACAGCAGGTCCTTTGTTGGATTCGGATAGAAACATCTTGAAGAATGTCATTAAGGATGTTGTAGCAGAAGGAGACCGAAGTCGGAATCTGATGTTGTTTGGTCTTAAAGAAGAGAAAGGTGAGCTGTTATGTGACAAGGTCGGTCAAGTGTTGTTGGAACTTGGTGAAAAGCCAAAAATAGAAGCTAGCAGAATTGGTTTGATCAAATCCAAGGATAAGAAACAGGTGGCTGATAGACCTGTTAAGGTGACTTTGACGAGCTCTACAATCGTGCAGCAGATTTTGACTAGAGCAAGGCATCTCCGTAGCTCGGAGCATTTCGGTAAAGTTTTCATCAGTCCGGATAGGTCTCCAGAGGAACGTGCCGAACAGCAAAAGCTTGTTTTAGAACTCAAGAAGAGATCAAACGACGAGCCAGATAAGAGACACTTCATTAAAGGAGGCAAAGTGTGTAGTGTGGACAAAACTGTTGTTTGAAATGTGTTAAGACAGAGTTTTGTTTGGATTTATGGATTCGTGGCTCGCTAAGATTATAATTTTTTGATAAGCTTCTAAATCACATTCGTCTTTCAACACAAGACTGTCAGTCTTCTAGAATTTTGTTTTGATTCGTGTATTAAGCTCTGAAGTATTTAGTCTTACTTCCAGGTCCATAATTTTGTGCAGTGTATATTTTTAGAGTCATTATGGTTTTATATTAGCAGATTTAGGTATATAACTATTCTATATAATTGTATGTATAAATACTTGAGTAAACATTAACCAGTAAACAAAGCTGGTTCCAATAAAAAATAGCTGCAACTAGAGCCCATTCCAAGCAGCGATTATCATTCTCGTTCTTGATGTTGAGAAGAGCATGGGTCTTGTGTCTGATGGGTTTAGGTAACTCCATCCAGCTGTTACCTGCTAACGGATTATACCTGAAATATAAATCATTAAATTTTACGTATGAAATATTGTTTCTGTCTGGTTCTAATGAACCGTTACAATAATACTTTAATATAACCATGGAAATTCAGTTACAAAATATATCTGTAAAAGGGTAAACAATATTTCTTACCTGGTTATGTTTCCCGAGGAACTCCCCTCAGCTGTCTCACTTGTCTGTACTCTAGCTCTCACATTCCTGGCTGTTGCACTACTATCAGGTCTTCTGCAGATCGTCTCATGCTCCAATCTAAGCTCCCGACTCTGGAAAACCATACTACATACCCGACATGGGAAAAGATCCCCCTCACATACCAAACGATGAGTTACCAAATCATCAGGATGAGTAAAGCAAACTGTACACCACTTACCCTTACAACACGCTTTCAGATGTCTCTTAAAATTCCGAACAAACCACTTCTGACACGCCGGGCACTGTTGACCAGGATTCTTTATCTCTCTGAGGTTCAAATTATAAGAGGTAGTGTTTATAGACTCGAACACACCTGCATTTGCCGCATCCATCAAGGCAAGCTCTAGTTGAGCATCAATACTATTCCTAAAGATATGATCAATCATCTCCTGTTTAAACTGATGAACATACAGGGGACTGGAAACATAGCGGGACACCATTCGTGGCATTCACTGTCAAAAGTGCCTTAATGGGATAGGTATCCCGAGCACCCCAAATAGCCTTGGAAACCTCCGCAAGGGCATTATCATAATCGCCACTAAACTTCAAGTCCGTAGAAGGACCGAAATGACAAGGGCGCTCTGTCATAACGACCAATAGATAAAAAAACTGACAATCGGTTGTTTCAAGATTCGATAATTCAATCAACGGATTCAATCGAATAAGCAAATAGTTAATGTTAGCTGTAAAATTCTTGGTTTATATAGCGATCACTACCTCTATCAGCACCGGATATCCCGTCTCCTAGACATTAGTTAACAACCCTGCACGGATGTTAATTGAGATGTTAATTGATATCCCGATCGACTAGTCAGACTGCCTATCATGTCTTCATGCAATTAGTTCCGGGACCAGAGTCCCGAAACTAATTACAATTAGTTGACTAGTCATCCTGATTGGCTTGTCAGACTGCCAGTCATATCTTCTACGGAAACTTTTTACATATCTAGAGCACAACACAAACTTTCTTAGGAATATAGTAGCACACAGCTAGGGTTGGCTAGGGTTACTGCACCCAATAGCTCACTATTCACCCAGCTACCTAGGGTTAATCCGGAAACCAATTAGCCCTTTTTACACACAATTTCTATGTCAGATTTTCAAATCACCCTATTTCCGCCTGAAATCCATTGAGCACGAGCTGTGCGATAGGAGACATAGTCATACCGAAAATATTTTGTTCGGTTTTCGAAGTCCGCACCTACCCTTCGATATACGATTTTGGACTCGAGGGTTCCCCTTTGTAATGCGATCTCGGAAGGCAGGCCTCCCCTTCGCAATACGAGCTCGGAAGCGGGAGCTCTGCTTTCAGAGGTACGTATCGAGAATGACTCGGACCAAAATTTTCTAAGTCAAAAATTTTCAAAGTTTTCTTGGAAACTACTTTTGTTCATATTTCATGCTACCCTGATCATTATGAGCCGAAAATATTTTTTTTCGGTTTTCGAAGTTCGACATACGATTTTGGACTCGAGGGTTCCCCTTTGTAATGCGATCTCGGAAGGCAGGCCTACCCTTCGCAATACGAGCTCGGAAGCGGGAGCTCTGCTTTCAGAGGTACGTATCGAGAATGACTCGGACCGAAAATTTTCTAAGTCAAAAATTTTCAAAGTTTTCTTGGAAACTACTTTTGTTCATGTTTCATGCTACCCTGATCATTATGAGCCGAAAATATTTTTTTCGGTTTTCGAAGTTCGATATACGATTTTTGACTCGAGGGTTCCCCTCTGTAATGCGATCTCGGAAGACAGGCCTCCCCTTCGCAATACGAGCTCGGAAGCGGGAGCTCTGCTTTTCAGAGGTACGTATCGAGAATGACTCGGACCGAAAATTTTCTAAGTCAAAAATTTTCAAAGTTTTCTTGGAAACTACATACTAGGTACTTTTATTCATGTTTCATGCTACCCTGATGATTTGTCGCAGCAAACGTGAAAAATCGCGATACTAAACACGCTGCGAAATTCAAAAAATATTAGAATTTGCCCCCCCCCCCCCCCCCCCCCCCCCCCCCCCCATGAAGAAAATCATTCCTACACCCCTGTTGAATTGTCTGTGTTTCTATATCTATACCCTATTTCCGCCTGAAATCCATTGTGCACGAGCTGTGCGATAAGAGACATAGCCATACTACTTAAAGCCTATTTAATAACTTAACCTAATTAGCGATTTAGATATAAAATTGGGCTCATGTGTCGCAAAGACTCCGGCCCTTTTGGTGGGATGCAACCCTAACTACCTAGCTCAAGCGAAAGTTATATTGTTATATTTAGGTTTAACTACAGCAACTGGTCCGAGTCTGTTAGCACAGATCACCTGGGAGTGGTAACACCACAAAACCGTTAATTGCCTGTCAGTGCTATATCACTGGGGGGTCGGTTGCTGTGGCGGCAAGAGGATGCGATTGCTGGGTGATGCTTGGTGATGCTGTCTTGTGGCAGGGTCATCTGTGTGTCACCTACGGTTCACCATTTTGTCCAAGTCTTGGTTGCCCTGTGTAATCGAGCATTTGCTTGGTGATCTTGTCTCTGACATGATCACTTACGGTTTAATTTTGATTCCTTATGGGCTTCAGAAGCTCTGCATGCTTTAACTTTACGTATCGAACCTAACCACCAGCTTGCTGGTGTCTGGACGGAGCGCTTACTTCTTGATGTCGGTGCTGCCTCTGGATCGGGTGCGAAGGTCCGGCAAACCATCCACCTTAAATCAAACCGCTACAGAAACGTCTACAGTGTCATTCAATAGTATTATACGTGGAGGCGCAGGTAGAGTGATGACGGCGACTAGGCAAAGCCGAAAGGACCCTAGTAGCTTGATGTCTGCTTGCAACTCCCGTAAGAGCCGACGTAAACACTGTAAATACAGAATTCCTTCATCAGATTTGTCATTTGTAAACAGACAGTCAAGTATGTCTAATCCTGTAAATATTGTAAAGAATCCTCTCTGTATCAGTACATGGAATGTTACTTCTCTTGTCAGTAATTCCAGTAAGATGTATCAATTAGGAAAAGGTTTTGATGATTATGGACTAGAGCTCCTTGGGCTAACTGAAACACATATGGCTGGATCAGGAACTCAGACTTTGGACAATGGGGCTGTTTTGGTTTATTCTGGCAGGAGCGATGGAGTACGGAGAGAAGGAGTTGGTGTTGTTCTTTCCAAAAAGATGAAGAATACTCTCATATCATACACCCCTGTATCAGGACGGGTTATGACTGCCCGTTTACATAGCAAACACATCAACATTAGTGTTACAGTTGTGTATGCTCCAACTGAGGATGCAGAGATCAGTTTAAAAGACTCATTCTACAAGGAATTGAATGATGTTCAATCGGGACTACCTGCACATGATATAAAGATAGTTTTAGGAGATTTTAATGCTCGTGTTGGAAGGGATACTGATGCTCACCCTGGTGTTATAGGAAAACACTCATATCACACAGAACCAAATGATAACGGAAAACGGGTGCTAGATTTCTGTACTATGCACCAGCTGACGATCGGAGGCACACTCTTTGAACACAAAGATATCCACAAGACAACATGGAGATCCCCAAATGGTAACACCGTCACTCAAATTGACCATATGTGTATTTCGACGAGATGGAGCCATTCTTTGCTTGATGTCAGGAGCATGAGAGGAGCAGATATAAATACTACTCACTATCTGGTAAGAGGATATGTATCTATTAAACTTAAGTGTCCTCAGAAAAGAAAGAAGCGTGTAAGACAGCCTGCTTTAGAGCACCTGCGTGATAGATCTAAGAGCCAGGAATATAGTAACAGAATAGCTGAAGAGTACTATAACAACGATCAGGAGCATGGAAACTCTCCTTTAGAAGAACAGTGGAAGAAACTGAGAGATATAATAACTGATGTTTCATTTGAAGTTCTGGGTGAAAGGGGCCGGAAAAAGAGAACAGAACATCTCTCAAGGGATACTAAAAATCTCCTAAAAGAACGAGGGGAGATTAAAAAGAAACCCAGTACTGCTGAGAACCGTGCTAAGTACTCGCGGATTAACGGCCTTGTTAGGCAGAACTGTAAAAGAGATGATAATGCTTGGGCTGTTAGAGTAGCTGAGGAATTAGAAGATGCTGCCAAGCAGGGTCAACAAAGAGATGTTTGGCAGAAAATAAAATCCTTAACAAACAAGAGAGTAAACAGATCTGCGGCAGTGCGGGATAAGAATGGGACACTTATATCAGATCCCGAAGCTCAGTCACATCGCTGGGCCGAATATTTTGAAGAACTCTTGACGCCAGCAGCAAATGCGGTGGATTTCTCTATATTGGATCAGGATGAAAAGTTACTTTCTTTTGAATACCTTAGTAATGATGATGAACCACCGTCCTTGTTTGAAATTGAGGAAGCTATCAAGAAGTTGAAGAACTACAAGAGTGCTGGAATTGATGAAATTTCAAATGAGCAGTTAAAGTACGGTTCTTCTGGACTTCTGCCTTGGTTAAAGGATCTTTTTGAAACTGTGTGGAAAGGTGAGGATATTCCTAATGATTGGAGAAAAGGAATAATCACCATCATCCCAAAGAAAGGGGACCTCACATATTGCAACAATAACAGAGGTATAACGTTACGCTCAACTGTATCAAAGTTATTCCAAATTGTGTTGTTAAAAAGACTGAGTAATGGGCTTGAAAAATTGCTCAGAGAGAATCAGTGTGGTTTCAGGAGAAACCGTTCTTGTATAGATCAGCTGTACTCACTTCATTGTATAATACACAATTGTATAGAATTCAACGTCCCTTTGTACATAAACTTTATTGATTTTAAAGCTGCTTTTGATTCAATCAATCGTGACTTTATTTGGAAAGCTTTTGAACATTATGGTCTTCCGACAAAATATATCAATGTTTTCAAAGCGTTCTTTAGAGCAACTGAAAGTGCAGTTCGTGTCAATGGAGAATTGACAAGATGGTTTGATGTCGATTCGGGGACTGGACAAGGTGATGTGCAAGGGCCCCCCATTTTTAATCTTGTACTTAACTGGGGATTAGAACTTGCAGAGAAGTTTAAAAATATATCCCGTGGTTTTACTCTTCAGTACAGACAAAGTTCCAGACAACCGGAAAAATGTGTCATTGATCTGGACTATGCTGATGACATCGCAGGAATGGATGACACTGTTGAAGGACTGCAAGAAACTACGGACAATATTGCGAAATACTGTGGGCTCGGGGGTTTAAAGATGAACGCAAAGAAAACAGAGATCATGGTCATTGGGAAAGATACATCGCAGCACCCACTCCCAGAGAATAGGACCATAGATATAACTGTCGATGGAAACTCTGCAAAGCAGGTCACTCAATTCACTTATTTGGGTGCCAAAATTACATCAGATGGCAAGATTGATAAAGAAATAAGTGTCAGGATTGGAAAAGCAACTGGAGCTTTTAACCAACTCAACAACATTTGGAAGAATAAGAACATAAGCATTAACAACAAAGTGCGAATCTACATCGCAGCTGTTCTTACCATTCTGACCTATGGATGTGAGATATGGAACACGACTCAAGTGCAGACAAGAAGATTGGAGTCTTTCCATCAATACTGCTTAAGAAGAATCCTGAGAGTGAGGTGGTTCCATCGAGTAAGTAATGAGGATGTTTTAAGAAGGGCATCAATAACTGCTCTTGCTGACATAATAACAACAAAACGGCTGCGTTGGTTTGGACATGTCAGTAGAATGCCTGAAGATCGGTTACCCAACTATTTACTTGAATGGAAACCCAAGCATGGGAAGAGATCAAGAGGCAGGCCTAGGAAGAGCTTAAATGATGTATTTATTGAGGATGCTGAGCAGAGATTGGATCGGAATGGACTCACGATTGATTGTATGAGAAGATTAGCTGCAGACCGAAAGGGATGGAGAAATGTTACCCGCCGAAGTTGTATAATACAAAGTAATGACGCAGTCGACGCAGACTAATCCTTTTGGATGGAGATCTCGCCATGTAACATGTATGTAACAGCAACTGTCAGCGAAATGCAATTAATTAATATTGTAAATGATGTCCTAAAAATAGCCCATCAAGTGATTTTTTATATAACCATCCGTTTCTTTCGCTCCTACGATTCTTGAATCGTGTTACAAATTACAAGGCAAAACTTTTAGTAAGGGGAAAAGTGGTCGATTTAAGGGTTCCGTTGGATTTGAATGTTCACAAGGATTTCTCAACGGAATATGGTAGTTAGGACCCCTACGAACATAATTAGACTTGTTGCCAATTTTGTATCTCAACAGAAACACCACTTTTACCACTTTTTACCACCTTTGTACCACTTTTCTGGTTTGCCAAATATCTTTAGTTGTGAACATCATAGAAGGCTGAAAATTAACCTAGAATGTTTATCTTATCAAGGAGTAAAACTTTTGTATCAAAAATTTTTTTTCGAGACTTTAAAAAAAAGTTTGTCAAATAAAAAAACCCCCCTTTTTTTTGGGACTTTGAACCAAATCGGTAAAAAATTTTTTAAAATTTGGAAACCCAAGAGGGAAAAAAAAGGGGAGGTTTAAAACAAAAAAGAAAAAAAATTTTTGATTAAAAATTTCGGATAACGTTGATTTTGAAAAATTTCCCCCAAAGGATGTTTTTCCCCCAAATTTTATAAAATTAAAAAATTTTAAGAAGTGAAAAATTTTTTAACCCCAAATGAAATTAGTCAGAAACTGCAAAATAATTAAAATTTAAAAATTGCCTAAAAATACCCCAATGATTTTTTAAACCTTTTTTTCCCCCTAAAGAACGGAAAAAACAAAAAACCCTTTTAAAAGGGGAAATTTTATTTAATTCCTTTGGTTTAATTTCCAAATTTAAACAAAATTTTAAAACCCCCAAATAATTACTTTCCCATTTTGTACCAAAACAGAAAACCATTTTCCCCTTTTTTTAAACCCCCCTTTGCCACTTTTTTTCCAATCGGGTTTGAACTAAAAGGGGGGGGGGGGGGGGGTTTTTTTTTTTGGGGGGGGGGGGGGGGGGAAAAAAAGGTTTGGGGGGGGGGGTGCGTGTGGGGGGTTGGGGGGGGGGTTTGGTTTTGGGGTTTTTTTGGGGGGGGGGGGGGGGGGGGGGGTTTTTTGGGGGGGGGGGGGGGGGGTTTTTTTGGGGGGGGGGGGGGGGGGGGGGGGGGGGGTTTTTTTGGGGGGGGGTTTTTTTGGGGGTTTGGGGGGGGGGGGGGGGGTTTTTTTTGGGGGGGGGGTTTGGGTGGGGGGGGGGGGGGGGGGGGGGGGGGGGGGGGGGGGGGGGGGGGGGGGGGGGGGGGGGGGGGGGGGGGGGGGGGGGGGGGTTTAGAAGGGGAAAAAACCTTCCATCCCTTGGGTTTTTTATTGAATGGGCCCCTTTTTTCCCTTTAATTAACCCCCTTTTTCCGGGTGGGGATAGAGCGGGAGAAGCATTAAAAGTTGCAGAAATAGCTAATTAAAAAACGGGTGGTAGCGGTGTGCTACATGGATAGCAGAACGTAGCTACACGGGGTTTCGGGGTTTTTAAATTTTTTAAAGGGCCAAATTTGGGCAAAAAAATTTAAATTATTAAAAAAAGGGGAGAACCCCGGAAAATGCAGGATACTGCAAAAGAACGAATGATACAGTCTGAAACATAAAACGCCGACGAAGCTAAACTTTAAAGATGGGGGGGGGAAAAATGGGGCAAACTAAAAAAAAAAAAACGGGGTTTAGCCTAAAAGATTAAGTTATTCCAAAATAGGGGGAAAATTTTTTAATCCTAAAAAAAGGGAAAGTTTTCCTTTGTCAATAAATCCGGTACGGCAAGGTCTGTAGCCTTGATAAGAAGATACCATGAATTAATTCATGCAGAAAAAGTCGATTTATATAAAGGGTTTCGTTGGATCTAAAAAGGGTGGGTCAGTCTCTCTGTTTTCATAAGATTCTGATGAAATGCTGTTAAGCTCAGGACGGTGATCTTAATAGGTCGGATAGCTGTATCTGGTTGCTTCCAGCCCACCCTTGTCGCTTGAAAATAAGTTCTCACCCCACCTCTTCCAAAAATACAGTTACCAGAGCAGGAAACTCTCCTTCCTCCTCTTCTTTCAACACAAACACAATCAGGTTCCAGCTGTTCTCCTCCTCTGCAGCCACAATCTTATCTCCTTCTTCGGAGTTTTACTGTTGCAGACTGTATCACTTGCACTGTTCTTTGCAGTACTCCTGCACTGTAGCTCTGTGTCCCTGACTACACCGTGGTTTACACTGCCCCTAAACTGCAATCTTAAGTAACTTTAGTTCCGGCACTCTTTGGCCATTAAAATAACCAACTCCAATGAAACCCCGTGTAGCTACGTTCTGCTACATCCATGCTAGCACCACCCAGCTACCACCAGTTTGCTCTAAATCTAGCTATTTCTAGCAACTTTTCAATGCTATCTCCAGCTCTATCCCGACCCTGGCAATGACATATGGGGGTTATTCGAGGTATATGGCATAGCAAACGAAGCGGCATGCGCATTCACAATACAAAAAAGCCACAATGGATGATGGAAGGTATATTTACACTCGCTTCCTATACCCCCCCCCCCCCCCCCCCCCCCCCCCCCCCCCTATAATACCAGGCCTCTTGCGAGTTGCGAGAGTGACAAAAAGTGCACAGTTTAAAGAAACCCCTGTGAGAAATCGCATTTCTTGCACAACTGGGTCTAATTATAGAGGTAAATAAGAGGTCCGGTACATTCAGATACCCGGTATAGATTGGCAAGATTGACAGAGGTTTTGATCATTGAAATCAATAAAATGATAGTACAGCAGGTAAAATCGGTTCGATCTTAAATGGTCCTTTTGTGCTGTTTCTTTATGTGGAATTTGATAAAGCTGTATTGTAATTAGTTATGAAACTCTAATATTGTGTGGTTAACCTTTTTCAGGTCCAGCCCTTTCCGCTAAGCTATTCCTAATTACTAAAATATGTCGAGATTTACTGAACTCCAACTTCAAATATTGATGATTTTAGTATTCCCCAATCTAAAAATCTTCGAAGTTTTTCTGCAAAGCATTTTTATCCACGTTTCATGCAATTCGATCACTTTTGGCGGAAAAAAATATTTTCAAATTTTCAAACTTTTTTTTTAAGTCTCGAAAAAAAATTTTAAGTGAAAAATTTTTGAATTTTTTCTAAAAACTACATTTCTCCGTGTTTCAAACGATTTAAATCATTTTAAGCCAATAAAAAATTTTCACTTTTTTTGGTGATTAACTAATTGGTAATTATCCAATTAGCTGATTGTCCGATGTAAAAATTTTTGATACAAAAGTTTTACTCCTTGATAAGATAAACATTCTAGGTTAATTTGCAGCCTTCTATGATGTTCACAACTAAAGATATTTGGCAAACCAGAAAGGTGGTACAAAGGTGGTAAAAAGTGGTAAAAGTGGTGTTTCCGTTGAGATACAAAATTGGCAACAAGTCTAATTATGTTCGTAGGGGTCCTAACTACCATATTCCGTTGAGAAATCCTTGTGAACATTCGAATCCAACGGAATGCCACTTTTCCCCTTACTATTTATTCATCTGGTACACTCATTTTTAAATATGGAGAATGCATGTAGAACTAGTGAAGCTGCTACTGACCATTATATGAGATTAATTCCATGTAATTCATTGCGTTAGGAATCTGAAACTAATGCCTGATAATAAATATCATATTATGATAAGAACGCTGAAATGTTAAGTACCGCAACACCTTCCATAAGTAACCCTAACTTTCAAACATCAGTGATATATTATATCGGTGATAATTATTATCACCAGTATTTCTCTCGCTATCAACTACTTAACTATAACCACTTCACCAAAGCCATTGACCATATCACAAGCTAACTACCTAGGATTGTCTGCAGCCTGCAGACCTGTCACGGCAAGTATCCAGTAAATTGCGAGTAAACATTTAAATAATGATTTAAATAAATTCGAGTATTGGCACCATTATGAATTGTATGATGAAGATGTACGTAGGTACAATTCTAATACATAATTATAAGATTCGTATATAATATAGACCCCAGTACCAGTTACAACTTGAAAGCCATTAAGAGTGGCATCAGAAGTCGACGCGGGTAAAAACTAAAATGAGATTCACCACTACCACTTACAGAGTCCCATGTAACTATCTAGTATTTACCTCGTCTGGCCTAATCAGTCTGCAAACAAGCACCGCATATAGGGATGGAATATTCGAGCTTATGCCCTTTTTATCAAGAGCTATCTCGGAATCAGAGCTGATACCGGAACAACCACTACCACTACCAATAACTGTTTTATTCGAGCTTTTCAATTATGATTGCAAGTCCTTCATATTATGGAGCCAGGGCATGGACTGGCTACGCCTAGATAAAATTAAAGCACTCCAATCCCATTACATAATACTGAAATACAATCTAGGTAAACTATAGGTAAAAATATAATATTAATCATAAGCTAAAATGTACTAATCTTTGTATTCTAAATGGGGAAAAAGAAGAAACATTGTCAGTCAGTCGAGAAAATTGTCAGTCAGGCTATATGGCAGCTTTGTAGATTTACAATAAATTATGCATAACATTATAATCAACAAAATATGGATTTAATCTCAGATACAGATAATAACAAATACAATTCATGATTAGTGTGGCCCAGTAATCAGCTATGTAAGGCCCAAACTTGCAGCCTCTTCCCATGTGGTAAGTCTCTAGACTAAATGTGACGACACAATATTTAGTTGAACACGTGTTCCTGAGTATCTGCTTTCCCGGGCAAGTTATACAGTTATATAAATTGGATGTGGTTTAACAGTAAAACTTCGAGGGTGGTGGTTGCTCAACTCCTACTTCTCGTACAGAGCTGAGGGAAGAAATAATGGCGAATTAAGCCTCATTCATTAACTTTACAGTTCAAGATCATCATTATATAATATTCATAAATAATTCGAAAGAAGAGAGTTTGGAAGATTTTTGAAGAAGAGCTTTTCTGCCTTCTCCTTGACCGAAATTTCGTGGTTTTGAATTAAATTTTTACCAGTGACCAATCAGTAAGGTTTGTGAGAGTGACACAAGTCGCCATCAAGGTACTGGAAGCAGTATATCCGGAGAAAACTTTGATGCAATGAAAAATTTTGAATATGTCCTACCACTACCAGTAGGACATATTCGAATTTCAGCTCTCTGCGACCCAAATTTCACTGTTTCTGACTGAATTTTTCTTGAATGACCATCTTACAGGGTCACTGAGGATGGCACAAGACACGACTGAGGTACTAAAAGTTCTATTCCCAAAGAAAACTTTGATATTAACGAAAAATCGTCAGAATGTAAAAGTAGATTTTGGAAGATTTTTGAAGAGACAAATTTTGTTTGACGATTGACCAATCAGTGAGCTTGAGGTCGGTGAAAGTGACCCAAGTCGCCATCAAGGTATTGGGCTTAATTTTTGTATCATTAAGAGTATTAACAGTATTATCCAACTATCAGTATTTCATTACGAGACTAATAAACAGCGAACTACTCCAACATTTGATAACCCAGTGGCCAGTACCAGTTAAAACTTGAAAGTCATTAAGAGTAGCATTAGAAGTGGACGTGGGTAAAATGAGATTCACCACTACCACTTACAGAGTCCCATGTAACTATCTAGTATTTACCTCGTCTGGCCTAATCAGTCTGCAAACAAGCACCGCATATAAGGATGAAATTGTCGAGCTTGTGCCCTTTTTCTCATGTGCTATCTCGGAATCAAAGCTGATACCGGAACTACCACTACCACTACCAATAACTGTGTTATGATTAGTCTGACCCAGTAACAGTAAGGCCCAAGCTTGCACTTTGCAGCATCTTCCCATCATGTGGTAAGTCTCCAGACTAAATATGACGACACAATATTTAGTTGAACACGTGTTCCTGAGTATCTGCTTTCCCGGGCAAGTTAAATGATTATATAAATTGGATGTGGTTTAACAGTAAAACTTTGAGGGTGTTGGTTGCTCAACTCCTACAAGAATTAGAACCACAAAAGGGAAAATCATATTATCCATGTCCTGTTTTCAGAGATTGAATGTGAAATTTCCGGGACCGATATTTGAAGAAAATGGAAATTTCATTTTCGCTGGAATATCAATAAATGGAACGTCAAAACGGGTTGAAATTGGGTTATTTCAAAATAACTGACACGTCAATTTCAAGAGATTTTAAGCCTTAAATCTGACAAAGTTGTACGACATGTACGTGCTACCAATCACACAGAGTGGTAAACCTATCACCTCTGGTTTGCCACTCCTCAGAATCGCTTATGCGGAGGATGGACCCTTACCTTGGGACCCCAGGCTATTATATTTATGTTCTTAATCATAAATAATATGTTCATAATCATAAATGGCCGAATAGAGATTCGGCAGAATGACAGGCTGAACGCCGCCCAGTAAGATGGACCCATACTCCGATGATAGATGATAGATGAACACAGATATAGATTAAAACCTGAAAATAAACTCAAATATAACTCAAGTAAGTTCATACGCTTATATGAGCCCAGCCGTGACGAATTATATTCACTGATAATTGTATATGTCCAAACTAAGTTGCAATTGAAATTGCCTCAGCTTCTCAGCTTAGCCCCCGGAGGTTTACGATTGATTGGATTGACTTTGAGAGCCAAGTAAAACGGTAATACCACCACTATAAGAACTAATATCGATAATAATCAACAATCTATAGGATAAAATTGAAAAACTCTATCATAGCACACAGCTGAAATTACTACTATCAAGTTAGATCGGAACTAATACCTGTAATAATTTCTTTTAGTTCCAGCAGTATCTGCGACAATCTAACGTTTTCATCACTGACCGACAACTATTATAACTAGAAATAACTATAATTCAGGTTCCCACACTTTGATAGGGCCGGGTGTAAAATGATTAGGGGTTGTTCACATATTACGTAGTCAGCCGAGGGGGGGGGGGGGGTCCAAATGCTTACGGTTGATTACGGGGGGGGGGGGGGGGGGGGGGGGGGGGGGGTTTGGTCGTTGATTACATAATCACAATTTTCTTTTTTACCCTCTAGAATAATAACAATTTGACAATATTTTAATTCAAATTCCACTCTGATAGTGATAGAATTTAGAAATTGATCGAATATCCGGGGGGGGGGGGGGGGGGGGGGGGGGGTCAGAAGAATTGTGTGGCTCACAATCTGTTCTCTAGGTTAGTGTGAACTGTGAAGGCCGGAGTTGAGGTTAAGGTTGCTGGCTGAGTTTAAGTTCCGGTTGTAGGTTGTTTTTTAGGTTAGGCCTAGTTATCCAGCAGCCGTTTTAATAGTTGCGAAACTAAATTCTTTTAAATCCGGCTGTTAAAATAACCGAAGGAGTTTAATAGCAGCGTATCTAATTCTATATATATAATAATAAGCTTACAAAAATATTTAAATTTAATAGCTTGTTTAAAAATAAGAGCAAGAAGTGGTAATATGACGTGAAAGGTTGTCAAACTAAGTTATTAATAGTATCTACTGTTATACAGCTAGACAAAATGTTGGTTTGAGCACCGTTAAAGTGGTCAAAACGGTTGTCCGATGAATTGGTCGATTCTTGAAATAAATGAATAAATTACTAGAATTAAGTAACAGAGACAAGAGAAGTTAGAGATAACCTACCATGTGAGATTACCCAGTTTCGTGTGCCTCGCTGTAGCAGTAAAAATAAATGCTCTAAAAGCAGGAAGGAACATATGAAACGTGGCTCTATGCCAATAGCTGTATCAAGAGACAAGGTGGTATCAGAAACTATCATATTCTACCGAGTAGGAGAAGTTACAATACACCCACATCGAACTAATGCTAACTGTAATAATAATGCGACTAGAAGTTATATGTCGTGAATTTAATAAGTTATTGATTGAGTGGTGTGTGGAGCTAGCAAGAAGAAAACTGAACACCTTACGAGACATATTTAAATTAAAAGGTACGAAATGCGGTGGGTTTCCGAAAAACACCATATTTTCGGACTACCAAAATTTAGGTCACCGTAACTCAATAATTTTTCCCCCAAATTATTTTTCACATATTTTCTTTAATTATGACTTTGTCGATTTACTATCATTAAACATTATAGTAAGCTATCAATATGATTCATCTAACAAATGAACACTAGTATTACACCTGGGACTACACTGGAGAGAAAAACGTCCCTGAACCAGAAGATCAAGAAGATCAAGAGGAAATTTACATGTAATTTTTCAAATTTCATATTTTATTTTATTGATTTTCTCAAATATTGGGTTTTACTTTATAAAATACTAGAAAACCCGTGGTCACAGGGCCGGAAGCTAATATTATTTTTTGTCAGTAAGTTTAAATCGCGTCAAAAAATATCCCACACAACCGAAGATACAGCCAATTAAAATGTTGCTCGTACTAAACACAACGTAATATCAACGAACCCGATAAAATGCCGTTAAAATAATCATTGCACGACGCACGTGCACGTGTGTGCAATAACCCTCGTTACCAAGGTTATTAATATGCAACTACCTATTTCTCGTCTGATTTGCACGTGGGCGGTCGTACAGTGTACGTACAGACAGAAATAATTCTCTGAATTATAGTAGAGATTAAGAAATGAAAAAATCCCCAAATACCATGATTTAATTTGGGGAACGATAAAAAACCCATATTTTCGGTCCCAAATCATCTAGGTCACCGGAATTTCGTACCTTTTAAATATGTCTCGTAAGGTAACTTAATTTATGAAGTAAACCCTATAAAGTAAGTAAGAGGGTTAGTTTGCATTTATTCATAATCATAACATCTGACTGCAGCCGATGTTCTCCTTGAATCAATTTAGATGCTTATTTAGACCATTCTATCTTCTCTGAATTTTGTGTCCCTTTCCTTATATTAACTGTCCCTACGGTCTACACCAAAGATTAACACATTGTTGGGAAATTCAGATACAGGCAACAAGTTTAAAATGCAGTGATGGTTAAGGGGACATACACCAAAAGTAAAACCGTTTTTGGTGCCACCCCCAATTTAACCTGATATTCTGAAAGAAGCAATAAGTTTTTTTGAGTACATTATACTTACTGCTTCTTTCATAATATGAAATCAATTCGGGGGTGGCAACAAAAAGTTTTGTTGTATGTCCATTAATAGCTTAGACAGACATGTTAGGCTTTAATAAGGCTGAAGGCGACGGGCTGGGGTTCAAGCGCAGGTTACACTCGTATTACAAATAAAAGGGCCATATTAATCGACGATATCATATCATATCATGCGCATGACGACTCATTATTATATTAAATTGAGTTGGGTTATCTCCGGATGTAATTATCAATGATTGATTCATAACATAATTATTGACTATGTCAAGAAATGAACGGATTGTGGATACCTTTAACAAAATTCGAAACTGATGAAGAATAGAATACAATAAACTAAGGCGAGCACAGGTTACCTGTGCCGATCATACCCAAAACGGACCAAGGTTGCTTGTCAAAACGAAACGAAACAGGAAGTGACGCAGATCAGAGATGCCGATGAAACGTCTTCAATTCGAACGACGATTGACTACGCGCGCATTGACCGCGCGCTGCGCATGAACCTTGACCGAATTGAATTGAATTGAAACTCTAGAAAATTTGACAATGCATACAAACTACCGTCCAAAATTACAGCCGCGTTTTCCAATAAAGCGATAATTTCTCTGAGACAGAAAAGAAGATGGCAAATTTTGCACAAAATGCGAAGTATAACTTTTACTAAGTGGAATGTTCTAGAAAATGGAAGTACCGAGTATAAGTTCATTCAATCAAGCACTAATAATGGAGATCTAAGAAACAGATCTGCTTGCTCTCAAATGGTGCTGTGAACTAGCAGTTCCCCTTCCATTTCAACCTCTCCTTAACCAAAGACCCGCCTGAAAGATCAACAGTACTCTTCATAGTGGGGGCCGCCTCATAACGGCGAAGAGACGAATTCCTAGGGAATGTCATAATTTTCCTTTTATCATATTCAGAAGTCACAAAACCCTTTTGGTTTCCTACTCTTCTTGGGCCCCGATTGGCTGATCTATGGGTGACTCAACAACAAGAACAGCTACAAGGACTACAAGGGGATATAACCGGGTATGGGGGATTAAAGATTTTAATTTGGGTTTACGGTTATATTTGCGTATCAAATGTTTTAAAGGGCAATAAACCCCGAGGTTAAACCGGGACATTTGCCATTGGTGGAGCTAACTCATTGATTGTTTCTGACTCACGTAAATTGGGACTGCTTGCATTTTTCGAAATGATTTGTTTTGGGAAATTTCACCTTTTAAAACGTATTTTTTTTTTTTTTAGAGACAAAATCGAAATTTTTTGGGGGGAAAAAGCTTAATTATTAGGGAAAGGCGAGGTCTAAAGGGAGCAAAATTTTTTAAAATTCTTCTTTGGCCCAATTCTCGCCCATTCATGTAAAATTTCAGAATAGGGGCGTTGATATTCAATATTATAAATAATCATTAATAATAACGTTTTCGAAATTTTGGTTTTTGGAATGGGTTACAAAAAACTAAAGAAAGATCCTTTTCTTATGGAAATTTTATATTATCTTGTTAGAAGAATGTTTGGGGGGGATTTTTAAAAAATTGGGGCCCCCGAGGAAGTGGAAGCCCAGGTTTGGGGTTATCTTAAAAAAAAAAAATTTTAAAACACTTTGAATTTAATTTTTTCCATTGGGGGAGGGATTTTTTTTAATTTTTTTTTTTTAATTAACACATTTTTTAAAAAAAATGTTTGTTCCCAAACAATATTTTCACTGTTTTAATAAACCCCACTTTGTTAACTTTTTTTCAGTTTGGTTCGTTAAGTGGAACTTTTAAAGGGCGGGGGTTTACATTAAAGACCAATAAAAAGGGACAATTTAAAAAAAAACAAATCAAAACTCTTTTAACAAAAAACATACAAAACAAATAGCACAAAAAAAATGTAATTTTTTAAAAAAGGGTTTTAAAAAGCAATGGTTTTTAAAAGGGAAAAAATTTGGCATTTATTCGGGGTTTTTTGGGTTTCTAAGCGGGGGGAAAATTTATCCCCCGTGGTGTTATTTGAAAAATTTTATAAATAGTATATAATTTTTTTGGGCCATATAATTTTATTTAAAAATAGTTAAAAAAAGAAAAATTTTTTTTAATTGTTTAAGAAAATTGCCCCTTGTTATTTAACCGCTTTATGAAAGGGTTTTTAAATTTTTTTTCCCCTGTAATAAAAATACGACGACAAAGCTCACGGGGACAAATATTCAGCCCAAAATGCTCAGGGCGACAAACCCTTTCCCCCCAAATTTTGGGGATCTAAAGGGGTGTACCCTATTTTTTTTAAATATTTTTGATTTTGATATATAAGGTTATTAAAATCTCGGAAATTGGGGGCCCAAAAACCTTTTTAAAAAGAAAGGGAAAAAAAGGGATTCATTAAATAAGGTTTATCAAATGAAAAATTTTGTAATCTGGTTGTTGTGTATAAAAAAATGCCCAATCAGTTTTAAAATGTTGTAGGGTATTGAGGAAAAAGATTTTCCCCCCAAAGAGAAAATTTTGGGTTTTTTGTAAAAAAACGCGATTATGTAACAAAAGAAAATTTCTTATCTCTTTAAGGGGACCGTTAAAAACTGTGAGCAACCCCCGGTGTTTGGGCCCTCAAATTTATTCTGCTTTAGCTCACTGAAATCCAATTTTCCCAACTTACCCCAAATTCCCAAAAAAATCTAACCTAAACCCAAAAAAACCCCAAAAAACTTTTTTCAGCCCCTTGGAAAGGGGTTACTTTTCCCCCAAAAAAAGAAACCCCCCAAATTTACAAAATTTTAAGTCCTGACCTACTGAATTTTCTTTTTTTTTAATTTCTTTCTCGCTGCCAAATTTGGGTCCATTTCCTCGTTTGCTCGCCTGATTCCCCGTCCGGAGCTGTACGGCGTCTCCGCGGTAACTTATAGTGAAATTTCCCAAAACACCAGCCCAAAGGAAGACAACCACAAACGTACCCAGAACGCCCCCAACGTGGGGGGAATGGTTTGGAGTTGGTCTCGTATCCGAACTTGTACACGGGGAAATAAAATCGGGTCACCAGGACCCCTTTTACTCCCTTCCAAAACTCTGCCCCCCAAAAACCCGTTTTTGCACAGGGGTTGGCCCATGTACTCTTTACTGCCCCGGCAGGGGACCCCGGGGGAAATAAAAAAACTTGTTTGGCACCCCGGGGGGGATTTGGGACAATTTGGGGGGGGGCGGTATCCCAAAAGCACCCGTTTTTATGTAAAAGTTTCATTTGGGTTTAAATGTTTAATGGAAAAAAAAAAAATAATTTCCAATGACGGGAAAACCCAACTTTTTACAAATACCTTTGTATCCCCGGGCAAACTTGGTCCGTTTTTGGGGGGTTTTAAACTGGTTTAACACTCTTGGATTTCCCGATTCCCTGGAAGGGGACCCCCAATAACCAGTCGTAATTTTTGGATTTCCAGGATATCGAGGGGTTTAATTCCCAAACCGGATTCCTAGTCCGTTACAAATAACGGAAACCCCAAAAACCAGTGATCCCCCCAACACCCCCAAATTTAGGAATTTTGGTGCTCCGGGGTTATTCTGGGAATCTCAAAATGTGTTATGATTTCCAAACTCATCCGGGTTGCCCCGGAAAGCGTAGTTTTTCCCCACCAACCTTTGAGATGGAATATCACAAAACCAGTCCATCTTATCCCAAACTTTTAGGGACGGGTCCTCTGGGGGGTTGGGGGGGTCGTAGTTTGGGCAGGGGTTTGCGGGAACAAAAAACAGGGTTACAAATTTACAATAGTACGCGACAAAAACATATTGTGACTATCTGCAGATTTTAAAAATATTTTTCTCGATTAAACCCGGGTTTAAATTTCCCTTAGAAAAAAAATTCAATAATTCATGAAACTCAAAATTTTAAAATTTAAGATTGAAAAAAGTTTAAAAAATGCCTGAAATCCTTTTTCCTTTTGGGTGTTCCCAATCGGGGTTTAAATTTTACAAAAGGGCCTTCTAAAAAATCATCCTTTTTTTGGGAACAGTGGGGAAGGGGAAGAGGATCATTTCGTACGGGCTTTGATAGGGCTAAAAACAAATTTCTAAAAAATAGTACGGGTGAATTACAAAAAAGGGAAAAAATTGGTACTTTTTAAATTTTAAATTTAACTTTTCTAATTTTTCCCAAAATTTTTAAA